ACTTCTCTAATTTTGTTCCAATCATTTAAAGCTGTTAAATGGAATAAACCCAAGAGGTGGTCATCATATAGACACTGCCTTTCTAAAGTAGCATAATCTCCTTCTCCAAGAATTTGGTCTTGGGAGACATCTATACCTCTTGTTTTAGCCCATTGTTCTATAGTCTTACCCTCTACTTTGAAGCAGGAAATCCATTGTAATTGTGGTTCAGGCTGTAAAATAGCTTTAATCAAGTCTATCCAGTCTATAGTCTATTATAAACTGACCTCATGTTTAACATCTGCTTCCCAAATGGTGAATGCATCCCATATGAGACTACCACTTTCTTGAATTTCCCAAAATCTATCATTGTCACAGACTTCCAAGTAGCTTTTACAATACCTCTATCATTTGACTTCCTGTAAGGTTACTGGATATATTAAGGTTTGTTTTCTAAAGATCTTAGACTGTTCATTTTTTTTAACTTTATAAGTCAATGCTGAACTTGGTTCTCCATTCAAATTCCTCAGCCTGGGTTTGAATGTCTCTATGATTTGCTTTAATAAGGTTTTCTAAGACCTGCATCTTAGCATTAAGCTGATTATTCTCTCATGTACTTGTTCCATTTTTAAACCATCCATTTTCAATAGTATAAAGCTGGGTATAAGAGTAGTTTAAGTAGTGGTAACATTTAACCCATGTAAAAATGTCATAGAGTTTAAATCATGACTTGGATCTTCAATGATTCAAGTACTACGGTCTCAATAAGGGTTTGGTCAATTTTAAGATAGATTCCTTTAGATGTAGTACCCATAATTCTTTGTTCACCACTTTCCATCAATTCACAGTAGGGTAGCTGGCCACAGTAGTAAGTCCACAGTGGCCGTTCCTGTCTTTGGCTATGTGGAAGAAGCCTCCCACACCCCAGGCAGTGATGATGAAGTGCTGATTGTACAGACAGCAATTCCAGGCCTTGTCATCTGGTGGGAAAGAGCCTGTATGTACCCAGGTGGTCACTGGTGAAGGACAGGCACTGCTGGCACTTTTTGGTGAAGGATGGCCACTTCTGGGTGAGACTTGTGTCTGTATGACCTGGGACTCTTTAGAACTATAAGGTCTTGCTACCTTCCCTAGTCCTTACAACTTTACACCTGTAGGTGACTCCTAGGCATGCTGACATTTGAGAAGTCACTGGGTTGACTTCTGGTGATGAGTCTCTGGTGATTTCTTCTTGTAGATGGTATACAAGGGCCTTCTGTCCCTGGGAAAGCTCTATAGGTCAACAGCAGATTCATTGCTGAAAAATTGCTTTTCTATTTACAGAAAGAAATACCAGGTGCTGGAGAGCTGGCTCAATGGCCAACAGCACTTGCTGCCTGTGGTGATATTTTGTTTATGATTTAACTAATAAAGCTTACCCGAAGATCAGAGTGCAAAGCTGGCCACACTAGTCAGCCATAGAGGCCAGGCAATGGTGGCACACACCTTTAATCCCAGCACTCAGGAGACAGATGCAGAAGAATATCTTGTAATTCAAGGTCAGCCTAAGCTACATGGAATTGATCCAGTCTAAAAAGAGAAACAGAGCCCACACAAAGGTGATCCCAGCACTTTGAGTGACATGCCTTTAGTCCCAGCACTAGAGAGGAATATAAAGTGGGAGGAGACAGGAGCTGAGGGGAATTCTGAGGTTTAGTGGAGTCTAAGGCAGTCTGAGGAGCAGTGCAGTCTGGAGATGCAATCTGAGGACAGGATTGTCCTTTCGGTCTGGGCATTGGTATAGAAGCGAACTCTCTAGGGGCTGGCCATTTTGCTTTTCTGATCTTTAGCTTTAACCCCAATATCTGTCTCTGAGTTTTCATTACAGTTCCCAGCACCTACATGTTGGCTCACAACCATCTGTAACTCCAGCTTCAGGACCTCAAGACACCCTCTTGTAACACCCATGGGTACTGCATGCATGTGGTGTGCAGGCATGCATGCAGGGACACACACATACACATAAGATAAAAATAGTAAAGAAAATCTTTTAAAAAATATGAATAAAAGTGGATGCAAGGAATTTAATTCCAAGGAGCTATTATTCCAAGATTATATGTGAATATAATTTTTTTGTTTGTTGGTTGGTTCATTTATTCAAAACAGAATCTTGCAATATAGCCTACTTGGACTAATTCTGCCTGGACTCCAGTGTCCTAAGCACATAGCACCTTACTTTGCTACATGTAATCTTTTCAACTGTTCAAGTTTTTTAAAAATAATGTATGTATAGGTATTCTGCTTTCATGCATGACTATGCACCACATACATGCAGTGTCCACAGAGGCCAGAAGGCATCAGATACCCTGGGATTGGAGTTACAGATCACTGTGAGCCACCATGTGGGTCCTGGGAGTCAGACCTCATTATCTGGAAGAGCAGCCAGTGCTCTTACCCACTGAGCCATCTCTCTGCCTTGCTTTCATGTTTTAAAAATAATTCTTACTCCATTGCGCATGCTGGTCTCATTCTTTTGAGTGCTGGAATTATAAAAAGGACTCAGCAGGCCGGACCCAGCCATATTGCTTTGTAACCTACAATTATCAATGGAGTTTTTAATGTCTGAAGAGAAGTTTCATGCATGGAAAAGAAGCCTTCAAGATCTTTGTCTACTGACTTATTTTGAACGATTAAAGGACTAGTTTTGTTGGGTTCAGCTTGCACATGTGTTACTTTGCGTATCAAGCTAGTGTTTTTATGTTAAGTCTCCTTCACTTTTTCTTTCATTAATGTTTAGTCACCTCACTGGTCCTCTCAGTATTTAATGTCATGTACAAGCTTAATTAAATTAGCTTAGACTACTAAAAACAATTAAGCAGATGGGCATGGTGGGTCAGGCCTGCAATTGCAGCACTTGGAAAGCTGATGAGTTCTGAGCCAGCCTGGGCTACAGTGTGAAATTCTATGTCAAAAACCTGATAATTGTTTTCATTTTATATAGTTTTAATATGTTAGAGTTAAAAGTTTTCCTTTTTATTTCAATACAAAGGGGGAAATGGTGTGGGCTATTTGTACATAGTATGAAGATGTATTGCTGTGATTTGTGTAATAAAGACCTGAATGGCCCATAGCTAGGCATGAGGATAGGCATGGTTTCTGGAAGTGATAGGGCAAAGGAAGCAGAAGTCAGACATATGGGACAGGGGAAAGGTAACTGAGCCACGTGATAGAACATAGATTAATAGAAACAGGCTAATTAAGTTATAAGAGCTAGTTAGAAAGAAGCCTAAGCTAAGGCCAAGTTTTCATAATTAATAAAAGTCTCTGTGTTCAGGGCTGGTGGTCCCAATGAGAAAGCTTACTAAACCCAATTGCACCAGGACATGGCTCATCCTGGGCCAAATGACAGGGTACATTCAAGGTAGGAGCAACTTTCTCATGGCTTACACAATCTAAAAACACTTAAAAAAAAAAAAAAAGACTAGCACAGTAAATTTATTCTCTAAACATAATGTTCACCATCACAAAGGCAGCTCGGTCATTAGGTTATTCAGGAATGTAAAGATCAATGTGGGATATGAACTTTTTCTCTGTTTGTGAACAAATCCCTCTGAAGAGTAATCAGAAAGAAGAGAAGGAAGCCTGGTAAGAATAAATGACATCTTGGGAAACAACAATCATAAGAAATTCAAACTTTTCACAGAAAAAAAGTCCCTGTTTTCCATGTAGTAAAGCACTGGTATAAATATACTTACGCAGTTTGTTAAGTGGTTTATTTTTAGTGGTAAACAAACAATATGTCCCGACTCCTTTGCTCACACTTTTGGGAAAAAACCTCTCTGTACTTTTGAAAGTAGACGGAAGAGACGCTGAAGGGGTCAGAAATAAGTAGTTAAAGTGCTTGCTGTGTAATCATAGCAACTGGCATTCCGACCCTTGCACTCACTGGAAATCCACACAGCTGTAAGCTGTAACTCCAGTGCCAATTTAATTCTTCCTACTGTTTTCAAGAATCGGTTTAGGGCTTGTGTTATTGCTAGAACTGTCACCAAGGTAGTAATGAATCTTCTTCTCAATGAATCCTGTTGACAATGCTGAGATTTTATTGACTCTCTTATGGCAACTTATTGATGGTTGGTGAGCATGCAATGGTTTCCTCTGAGATTGAAACATTCCACCCTGAAGGGAAGCTCCTTAAACTGAAGGCAGACAACTCAAAAGAGCTCAAAAAGTCCCTGAAACTGACCAGATTTACTAGGCCCCTCCCACTAGAGTAAGCAATAAAAGCTGAGTCCCTCTTAGATGGAAGGAAGCTGAGCAGCAAGGAAGACTCAGCAGAGCAACCTCGGACCAGCTACCCGGAAGAAGCAGAAACCAGCCAGCTGCTTGGAATAGGTTTAAACCAACTGAGTCGCTTGGAAAGGACACTCTCCAGCACGCTGAGCTGCCCAAAGGCTGTGCAGAGTCTCCAGGCTCCCAGCTTTTATGAGCTATCACCCATGCTGAGGGTAGGCTATGACGATGCACCTGTCTTTGAGTCATTTCTGCTCCTGTAAGTAACCCTTCACTCACATTACTGTAAGTAATCCCAATAAACCTATTGGTTCACCAAGTTGGACTTTGGTGGTTCCCTATTTGGGGAGAGTAGATAGTGTGTGTTTCAATCCTCACACAACACTACCTACTCAATTTTATGACTGTAAAATTCTATTTATTCTTTGTAATTAGTAAGCATGTTGTTAAGGAGCCATTTTGAAGGGTAATTATATTTTGTTTTGTATTTGACCATGATGGACAACTTTCTAAAAAACAAATATACTAACCAGGATGAGCTAGGTTGTGCTGAGGTATCTAGGTAACCCTGTGCTCTGGACAAGGGAACTGAGACGAGTGTGATTAATTCACAACCCTCCAACCGTCTTCCAACTCCTGGACCCACTTAGGGTTAAGCAGGGCCGCCACCCTCCAAAGAACGTTGACTTACGTTCTTTCAGGTCACATCACAACCAGCTATGGAACCTTGAAGGCTGTGGCTAGGGCAACCTCCGACTCAGGCATCATTTGTGAGGCTTGCCTCCGATGTGTTAGCTGCGCGGTTAAGGCCTGGTGTCTTAACGGTGGCTAGGGCAATCTGTCCGATTGCGAAGTTCTGGGTCTTTAGCTGGTTACTGTGCTCTGGCAGGATCCTTTTAAGGAAGTAGTCCTAGAACTCCACGGGGTTTCCCACAGTGGACCCTGGTGAACTGCCAACATTTGATTATTCACCAATCAGTTCCTGACGTTGCTAGCTCAATTGACTTCGTACTCTGACTTACCCTGACGCCCAGAGTCAATTCTGTTTATAAAGAAAAGCTATTCTGAGCTCTTCATCCTGTGGCCTGATAGGTTTCCGATCTTGAACCAACTTGTGGAAGCAAAGGCAATCCAGGCACTGATTCCATGTGGAAATCTAAACAGTGTGGGATGGAGATGAAGCCTGAGGCTTCCGGACAAGGTCGAAAAAGGAAAAACCAGGATGAAGTTGGGAAGGAGATGATCCCTGGAGCTTTGGGACAAGGTAAAAAACCGAAATACCAGGATGAAGGTGGTACCGATTTGGAGTTTGAAGAGCCCAGCAAGGCTCGAAAGAGGATATCTCAGGAACAGCGAGATCTAGAGCTTCTGAGTGAACAACCAAGCAAGGATCAGATACAGAAACGTGGAGAAGAGAGTCCAAGACAACTAAAACCCCTGGAGTGGGCCAAAGGTCCACAGGAGCAGGCTGTAACTGGGAGGAAGTCTGCTGATGGTGGCAAGGGCCGAAAGCGGCCCTATTGCGTCATGGAAGAATATGACCAACACCACCAAAGGGAGAAATACCAAAAGTTACTACAGGACCTTCAACACAGTGATCATGTGAACTCTGACCCACACAGGGCTCACCCAACCCTTATGGATATCTTGAAGATCAAAGGTTGTGTGGAAGGGCACAGTCGTGGATCCAGAACAACTCAGTGTGATCTAAAACAATCTACTGTTGTTGCTGCAACAGAATGTCTCTCACCAGACAAAAGAGAAAAGCTGTGCTCTGAGAAATCTTCTGATACACAGAAGAAAGATGGAGTAAACCTTGAAGGAAGAAGGGGTCACCACTTCAAGCCTGACTTACTAAGAGCACAGACTCAAGTTTTCCTGCATAGTGGCAGCAGTAGGTCACTCTCCAACAAGATGCCAGTATCTATAGCAAAGAAAGAGCTTGTTACAGACCAAGAAAAAGGCAGAGGTATGGATGAAGTCCTTGATGTTACAGAGGACATGGAAAAGGAAATCAAGAATGCACTAGGTCCAGGACCCCCAAGAGGAAATCTTAAGTAGTGCATTTAAATTGCAAATTACTAGAGGAGATATCCAGACACTAGAGAATGGTCAATGGCTCAATGATGAAATTATCAATTTTTATATGAATCTTCTGGTTGAGAGAAATGAAAACCAAGGCTACCCAACTCTTCATGTGTTTAGCACTTTTTTTTACCCCCAAACTAAAACATGGTGGTTACAGTTCTGTTAAAAGATGGACTCGAGGAATGAATCTTTTTGAAAAAGAAATTGTTCTAGTGCCTATTCACCGGAAGGTACATTGGAGCCTGATAGTAATTGACCTAAGAAAACAGAGTATTGTATACCTCGATTCAATGGGACAGACAGGGCAGAATATTTGTGAGACCATCTTCCAATATTTACAAAATGAGAGCAAAACTCGAAGGAACATAGAACTGGACCCTTTGGAGTGGAAACAATGCAGTGTGACATCAGAAGAGATTCCTCAACAGCTAAATGGGAGTGACTGTGGAATGTTCACTTGTAAATATGCAGATTACATTTCTAGAGACCAACCTGTAACCTTTTCTCAGCAACACATGCCCATCTTTAGGAAGAGGATGGTGTGGGAAATCCTGCATAGTCACTTACTGTAACAACATCCACCTGGTTGCTATGGCACACCTGCACTTTTCCATCGATGTTTCTATATACCTCAAGCAAGATGGCTGAAAATACTTAAAACAGATACTGAGCTGTCTGGCATGGATAAAGCTCATTCTCTTCAATGTAGTCCTAACTTGGGGAGTCCTGCTCAATGCCATCTATAAGATGCATGTAGCTACTGCAAGCTTAGAAACTGCTGTTCAACCCACAGAAGAACACATCTTCAAAAAATATTGTTTTAATGCTGGATTTAGTTTATGAATTTAGTTATGAATCTTCTTGCCCCACCCCATAATTGTTTATGTTTTCATTAATTTGTATGTAAACCTGGGCAGTTGTCATTTTCCAATAGTATGTAGTTACCAATTCTATTCCTTGTTTGAACTGTTTATTCCCGAAGGTATGCCTATCACAGTGTCATTCTCTGCAGAAGATTAGGAGGGACATCAGCAGGAAGAGGAAGGAAGTGTTGATTAACATCTCTAATGCTGGACTTGTAACTGTTAAATTGAAGCTGGTGTGTGTGCGTGTGTGTGTATGTGTGTGTGTGTGTGTGTGTATGTATGTGTAATGTATTTCTTAAAACTTGAAAATAGTACAAGAAAGGAAAGTGAATGACACGGACTGATGCTTTTATGACCCATCATATTCTACTGGACTTGCATAGGATGTAAAACTGTGGCCAAGCTACTGACTGCTTGTCCAGGACTGTTAAGGAAAGCATCGTGGTTATTTAAAGACACATTCTTTCCCTGAATTAAGGAGACCTTTGTTTTGGAAGTTGAATCTAAACCACAGCTTTGCTAGTACTATATTGAAGTATTTGAAAAGTTTTATTCAATTTAAAGTTATGTTTTATTTTGTTTTTACTTAGTTCATTTCATATTTAGGGCTGATATTGCTAATTATACAATAATCCATTTTATATGTAATAAACTTGTATTTACCTTTTCTGTTCATTATCTTACAGTTGTGTTTATGCAATTTTTATTTAATAAAGTTTAAAGTTGTTCAGAACATATTTTTAAGATCTTGTGTTACAATTTTCTTCATATATTAAGGATGTCTACCTTTCTGAATCTATTTAGAGAAATATCTGATTTCTATCCTAAGTCTATTGATATGCTGTATTACATTTAACAATTTTCATATGTTTAAACGACTCAACCTTGCATCTCTGGGAGGAAAGAAACTGGATTGTGGTATATGATCTTTATAATGGGTTCTATTTTGTTAATAAGTATTTCAATGAGTTTTTGCATGTATGTTCATCAAGGAAAACGAGCTACCATTTTCCTTCCCAGTCTTTTGAAATTTAATACACCACATATCAGTGAAAAAAAATTATTCATTTATTATGAAAATGCATCATGATTAAAAATTACATTCTTTTTTTTTTTCCATACAGGATTTCTCTGTGGCTTTGGAAGCTGTCCTGGATCTAGCTCTTGTAGAGCAGGCTGGCCTCAAACTCACAGAGATCCACCTTGCTTCTGCCTCCCAAGTGCTGGGACTAAAGGTGTGCATCACCAACGCCTGGCCGAGGATCTGCTCTCTTATCTTGGGTTATAGAGGGAACTTGGTTGAGCAGAGTCCAGCTTGAGCCCTGTAGAGTTTCAGCAATGAGTAAACTTAATATACACAGGGGCATTTGTCATTGAAGCCACTCTTCATATTGTAAATGGAAACTCAGTTCCATCACTCACTTCTCTACCAAAAACTAAGAGACTGGCATTGGTAAAAAGGAAATGGTGTCCAAATTTATGGAAAGAATATTTCTCAGTTCTCTCTAGATCTATATATCTACATATCTCCCCTTTTCTATACAATAAGTAGCTTGATGATGTATAGAAAAGACAGCACAACATTTGGGAAATGGCTCATTTGGCAAAGTATTTACCATATAAGCTTGAGGCTCTGCATTTACACCAAGGGTCCAATTAAGATAAACTATGATGGGTGACTAGGAGACATCAAAGCCCTGAACCTTGGTAACATCCAGTACCAGCAGAGACTATTTTCAAGTGTTTAATGTGCATGTTTTTCAAGGAAGCATTCCACAAGCTAGAGAGATGGCAGAAAAACTAAAGCTCAGGGGTAGAAAGGAAAGCATACCCACCTACCATGTGTAAAGCCATGTGTTCAATCCTCAGCACCTTGTCAAAAAAGAAGAAAAAGAGTTTGAAAGGGTAACATATACCTATTTGAAGGAATTTTTTTTCAATGCCCAAAAAGTAATTAATAAAAACTACAAACTAAAATGATTAAGTTTAACACAAGAAAAAAAAATCCAACAGACATGTCAATAAACAGACCATCTAATAATATATAAGCATGTAATAAAGGGAAGGAAGGCTACTAATAAAAAGAGGACTGAATGCCAGGCAGTGATGGCTTATACCTTTAATTCCAGCACTTGGGAGGCAGAGGTAAGTGCACCTCTGTGACTTCAATATGGCTGATCATGGAAAAATACTTAGAAACCAGCCAGTTACTAAGAAAATATCAGCATAAATGTGTGTCTACACATAACAAAGCATACATTGCAGAGAGATCTGAGCCAAGTTTAAAACTAAATGAGAAAATTAAAAAGAGAAAGGCACATTTCATGATACTCAGAGAAGAGCTTCTGATGCAGAAAAATATATCAGAAATTACAAAGAGAGAGAGAGAGAGAGTGATAAATGTGCTATTTAGGAATTTAAAGTTGATGTGTATCAAAGACAAGCACCAAAGAGCAAACAATGTCAAAATGTATAGCAATTGTGATAGAAAAATCTCTGTCATTGGGTAATGAGGATATAGAGCCCATATACATCAATGAAATGCTAAGACCTTTCCTTTTCCCAAGGAAATTAATAAAAATGCACAATTCACAAGTAATATGCAAATGCTCAATAAGCATGGCAAAATAGAAACACCCAGAATAATACTTTTCAACTATATAGAGGTAAAGTAATACTTCTCAACCTATTATATACAGATAAAGTTCTCAAACCAAAAAAATCTGTAGATCTATTTTATTTTCTGTGTATAAGTGTTTTGGCTGCGTTTATGTGAGTGTACCACATGTATGACGACTACCTTCAGAAGTCAGAAGACGGTGTTGGATCCCCTGGAAGTGGAATTATGGTTAGCAGTTGTCTGGCCCCCAGGTTCTGGGAACCAAACCTGCATCCTGTTTCAAGAGCCGCAGGTGGTCTTTGCTGCTGAGCCAGCTCTCTCCAACTATCCTCACCCCTCCAGCAAACACATTTTAGAGAATACTCTTGGAAATGTTCAGCTAAGGGTGGAGAAATAGCCCAGTAGTGGCATGCCTGACTAATACGCACGGAGCCCTGGGTTTGAGCCTCAGCCAGGCAGGTTCTTACAATCCCATCACTGGGGAGGCAGGGGCAGGGAGATTGCAAAGTTCAAGATCATCCCCAGCCACACAGTCAGTCTGAGGCCAACCTGGGATTCATGTGTCTGCTTTTCTCTGAGTTTTCAGCAGCAGCAACAATACTGCTGAGACCACAGATATGACATCAGTGGTGCCAGGAAACATGAAGGAAAACATGAGGGATATTTTGTAGAAAGCACAAATGGTACAATTGTGTTCTGACATCATAAAATAATTTACACTAAGGGGGTTATTTCTCATAGCTTGTATTGCTAAATGCCATTAACAGTCTATGAGAGACCTCTTTAATATCCTGGGTATACCCCATGCCAAATGACAGAGGAAGAACATCTGGATTGGTGGACTGAAGCACACTTGTTCATAACACATCCTTGTGAGCCAAAGAGCTGTCAGTGTATTACGATAATCAAGAAACATCTGGAAACTTGCTGACATCTCTAATTTCAGAATAAGTCCCAGAGAGCCCCCTCAATGAAATTGAAGATTGCAATGTTATTAATAGCAAGGTCTGTGCAAAACCACACTGAGGTCTGACAGCTAAAGAAACCCAGAGATGGGTACCATTGATGGGTCACAAAGCTGTAGCTTAAAAATGCTCATGGATGTGGCACTCACTCCCTGGGGAATGGGTAGCAAATGGCCAGATTCAGTGGCAATGCCAATGGCTCTGTTCCTTCACACCACATCTCTTCACATCCCCTTGGTGTGCCATGAGACATAGCTTGCCTACAGTAAAGGTAATGGAGTCTTGGTACGAACAGAGAGGGCCTGCCACTGTAACCGCAATGTTACATGACTTACACGGTTCAGGAGGCTTGGCAAGAGCCTCACACTGAAGACCCTCTGCAATGGAATCAGCCCCACATCCTTCGAAAGTATCCCATCATGGATTTCATAGGAGCCAACTAGTGATCTGGGTCTGAAACATCAGCAGGGGGCTAAAGTGCTTGCCCTGCAAGCGTGGGGGCATGAGTTGGATCCTTAGTATTTATGTGAGAAGCCAGATGTGAAAGCAACACTTGTGATCCCAGGACTGGGAGGCAGAGACAGGAGGACCTTGGGGACTTGATAGTCAGCCATCCTAGCCAGTCAGTGAGCTCCAGGTTCAGTGAGAGACCTTGCCTCAAAAAATAAGTTGGAGTCATTAATCCCAACACTCAGAAGGCAGAAGCAGGCAGATCTCTATAAGTCCCAGGTCAAATTGATTTATATAGGCCAGCTAGAACAACACAGAGAGGTCCTGTCCCCAGTCTCAGGGACAAAGACAAAAAAAAAGCCGGAGGTGGGTTTTGGCAGTAGAGTCTTAGGACAGCAGAGGAACAGAGGAAGGTTAGTGGTTCTGTTGATGTAATGACAAGTCAGGAACCTTACCAAGTATTAAGAGGCATACTGCTTAAACACTATAAAATATAAGAGGAAGAGCGTTAAAAAGAGGCCTGACACTGACCTCTGACCTTCCTTTACAGGTGCATGCATGGGTACGTGCACCTGCACACACGTGGACATAAATACGTAAGCACAAAGACATAGACTCTAGTACTTTGTACACTGTGAAGTATGCCAAAGCAACACAAAGGGGAATTCAGTGTACACTCTCCACTCCTGTCTGTGATCAAGACACAGCAGGAAATCCTAGGTTGTACAAATTGAATGCAAGTATGCCATGTAAAGTGTAAAACAAAGTAAGACAGGGCCTGGAGAGATGACTCAGATGGTTGCAGAGGACTGAGGTTCAGTTCCTAGCACCCACATGGCAATTCAATACTGTTTTTAACTAGTTCCAGAAGATCCACCGCCACCCCTGCATGCCTATAGTATACAAACATACTCAGACCCATGCACACGAAATAAAATGAAATAAATATTTCATAAAAACAGATGAAAGTTCAAAAGGGGAGAAATTATGTCTTCTAGAAGAGCTGGT